TCCCCCCCCCTGACGTGCCATTACTGACAGCCTGTAGGACTGGATATGCCCTTGATGCTCCTTCCCTTCCGCCCCACCTCCGACGCCAGCGCCTCCCGCAACTTTGTGCGCAACTTCTTCAAGGCTGCATACGAGGGAACAGGCCAATACTCTGGCGAGGGCCTCGCCCAAGAGTTGCGCCTCACGGAGCCATTGGTATGCATCCGCCTCTGTAGAAAATCTCGCAGATCAGCCCATACTGACGTTGTCAGACACTTTGCAGTATCATGAAATGGTGTTGGAGTAGATTGCCAGGCGGCGTCGTTACTTGGGACGCCTACGAGCTGTTCCGTATTGGAGAGTCTGGTAGGTTGCTGGCGTCAATGCCTGAAAACCCCCTCATCGATTGCTGACGCCTCGCTCAGATTCAAACTTCGCCCGCCACGCCTTCGATACCTTTATTCCCATGAGCGTCGAGTCGGACGCGCGCAAGAACATCATTTTTGACTTTTTCGACTTGCTGTCCGCTGTAGCAGCGCGCGGAAAGAGCAATGGCATGGGTGGGAGGAAGCTGTCCCGCTTAGCAGGCTGGTGGGCATTCGAATTTGCCGAAGATGGCAAGGGCTTCGAAGGGGGATACCACACTTGGGAGAAGTGAGTATTGCAATGCAGCACATCGCAAAATGGCAACGAGATGTACTGACTAGCCTTCAGAGCCGCAGATGCTGCTAGCCATCTCTTCTTCGCCTATCTCCGTTCGCTCTCGCCAGACCTGAACCAGATTGGTGCCATCTCCACACTGCCTCGATCACTGCTAGCGCTTCTTTCCCAGACTGAATACCCACCACAAACCCCGGCGCTCATGAAGACCCGTACGACCAAGGTGGTTATGATTGTCGATTCCGTTTCGCCTACACCCTTTGCTCTGTTACGACGTGCGAAACACTTCGAGTACAGAGACGATGACGCTGCACTGCAGCAATTCTCTGCCTATGAAGATACCGTCAAGGCGTTAACGGATGAGTGTCGCAGAGTGCTCGAATGTATATCAACCGCCAACCAATCGGTTGTATCACCTGAAGCGCGGACACCAGATCCTTCCTGGTCTCGATTTGAAGACATGGGCTTCTCTGGACTGCTCGAGAGCGCCCCAGAAAACTCCAATGGCACGTCTCTCGGCGGTGGTACCCGTGAATTCTCTAATATGCGCCCTGGAGCACAATCCAAGACCAATGACTTTGGCCGTCCCACTACCCCGTCCTGGGCCGACTTCCTATCGTCTGGTTTTGCTGACGAGAACAATCACACTTCGCCCAATACTTTGTTGTTACCAACACAGAAGTTGCCGCCTCTGGGCGAGGTTGCGCGCGTACATAGCTCCCAATCGCACGTGCGAAATGGGATGATGGAGGCAGATCTAGAGCCCGGTGAGCTAGCAAGCATTGTTCAGTTTGACCTCGACGAGACTTTCTGGTGGGTCTGGATGACTAGTTTGGCTAGCGAAGAAACTACAGACCGAAAGGCAGCATTCGGAAGATGTGCTCTGATCGAAACTCGGATACCCGGCGCCAAATGGCTCGTGATGGAGGAACAGGTGAAAGGTGCCTCTCCAGGACCTGAGGAAGGGGCTTACATTGCGGAGAAGAAGTCAAAGTTTAGCTTCACAAGGCGTGGTCGTCTCGGACGGCGCAAGTCGACCGGAAAGAAGGCGACACCCAAAGAACCATACAACCGGACAACTGCGAATACGCCCATAAGCAAATCCAGTATCGCCCCCGATCAGCACGCGAGGATTCAAGCTGCCGCTGCCAGATTGGCACAGAATGATCGTGACCAGAAGGATGCAGCAAATCCTGTACAACGTCGAGGCCGCAATGACGACACAACCTCTGTCAAAACCAACAGTGTGCTGACACTCCAACCGCATCTTTTGAGTGAGGCAGGCCCAGCCATGAAATGGGACAAGAAATTTGGTGAGGCCGCAATGGACAAGGATGCCCTTCGCGCCCAGTATCTGGGAGACAACAGTGCTGGGAAAGGATTAGGGTCAAAAGACAATTCTCTATCTGCTGCTAACGGCCGTTTTTCCCCTTCGCCACCAGAGGTCGCAAACCGAGACCTACCAGCACTCCCCAAATCGGACGTGCATGCGTCCAGCACCCTCAGAGCTGGTTCGCGTTCTCCCGCTCCCATCTCTACCAACACACCTCCAAGTGAAGTGGCATCAGCAACCCGAGTACCTTGGCCGAATGATTCCCCAGCACCATCTCCATTACCCAAGGAAAAGTCAATTCCCATAACACGTCCGGTTGAGCAGACCGTTGCGGCTCCCATTGGAGAGAATTTTGGCCCGCAAAAGGAAACTGCAACACAACATCCAGCTCTACGAAAATCGGTTCCTGAAAGGAAGCCTGTTGTCGCCACCCAAACTACTGTGCGGGCCAGTGAAGAGCAGACTCGGGCGTCCGAAAAGAAGCTATCTCCCAACAAACTTAAGAAGAAGGAGGGAGGAGGCTTTCGCAAACTATTTGGGAGGAAAAAGACGGACGCGGCTGCGCCGACTTCCGTACCTGTAGCTGGGAAAGCTGTCAAGCCGGCACAGTATGAGAATGATCGTTACTCGCCTACACCTGATGTATCACGCAGTGCATCTCGCTTCGAGGATCATCAGGTCGCGATGGAGAACCCGTCCCCAAGATACAGCGTCGACCAAGCGGAGAATTTGAGAGCGCCTTCGCCGAGATATGAGCAGAGCACCGGTGCTTCTTCGATGGTGTTGCCAGAGCGACAAATGCCTCATCACGCCGCAGTTCCTGGTGCCCCCGCTACACAGCAGGAGATTGACCAAGCCTTTACGAGGTTTGATCAAGGACCAATGAACGACATGCCAGCCTTTGTTCCTGCCGATGATAATAGCGAAGACGACGCGGCTGCTGCACCCAGCGTTCCTCGCCGACAACTACATCACGGTGAGCAACGAGAGCCTGTGACGCCAACGCAATATGTCCCGCATCAAAGCGATGATATTTCCGAGGAATCGATCGAGATCACTCGACAGGTATCCCCTTCACAGGACCGATGGGCCCAAATTCGCAAGAATGCGGCCGAGCGTGCACAGAGGCGCAGCGAAGAACAAGTCCGTCGGAGCCGGAGTCAAAGCCAGAGCCAACGTACGGATGAAGGGGAAACAAGCGGCGAGGAGACTATCGAGAGTCGAGTTGCTCGTATCAAGGCTCGAGTTGCTGAACTGACGGGCAATGTTGATGGCCAGTCACCCGGAGCTGGTGCGGATAGGCGATGGTAGATTGCAGACAGGTAGGTAGGGCGTCCATCCGCTGCATGGTATGCTATGCCGAATGCTTACCGCCTTGTCAGATGTTGTAGAAGACTCGGGTCGCAGGCATACCCAGAGCTCCAGATACCCAAGCGTTGCACTTTTGTTTTCCCACATCTAATACCCGTCAGCGTGAACTCAGCACCTGACATCGGCTTGTTTGGTCTTGATTCAGTATTTTGATTTTGATTTTGGAAGCGGGTTGTGAAGTGGGGTGAAGAGGATAATATGTATTTGGTCGCTCGTATTGCTACATGGACAGGTGCAAGCTAGAGTAAGCCGTTGGGAGTTGATTTTGGGTGTAGGTGATTAGGCTGGGAGATGCGAGTTGATACATGAGAGATAATGTCAAGTTTGATGGTGTTTGCAATTGCGAATGTGACAAAACAGGGAGCAGGTGTGGAGAAGATGGCGTGGACTTTGGCAGCCCCCCTTTTGTTTCTCTCGTCTTTCCATACTCTGTACATGCGACACTTTTTGAGATTTGAAGGGCCTAGCAAGGAGATGGGCGCTAGTGAGAGTAGAGTAAGACGATAGGATGGGAACCGCAAAGTTGCTGTATATTCATACAAGCGCCAAGATGAACAGGAGGTCCAAGAGCCTGCATGTACCTATCGTCAGGAGATGGACATAGCGAGGAGAGGAGGAGGAGGAGGAGGAGGGTTGAACGAGGTTGGCAGATGACCAGAAATAGCAAGCGAAGCTTTGTGTACCTGCATGGATGGATGACCCTACCTAGTAGCTGTAAGGTGCGGTTGGTTGACTTGGCCAGATAGGTACCTAGGTAACAACATGGTATGTTTTGAGAGAGAGAGAGAGAGAGAGAGAGAGAGAGGCAGATTGAACTAAGAATAAGACTGGTACCTGCATAAGAGGGATGAGATGGGAGAGACTGGAATTAGAACAGCAAAAAGGGTTGCTGCTGTCAGGCTGGTGGGTGCCGTTGTGATGGTTGGTGGTGGGATGGCTAGTAGTGTGGCGCGAGTGCAGCCCGCGTGGCCAAGGGAATTAGGTAACAGGATTCCATGCTAGAGTAAGATGGCAGCAACCTGTCATTTGTGTGGACGAAAGAGGGGGGAGCAAGCAAGATTCAAGTGGATGGCCAGATGGGTACCCACCTGGCGGTTACTAGAGGGTGAGATGTGAGATGTTCGTCCATGTCCAAACCGTGCCGTACTGGTGCGTACGTGGAGGGATGCTCGTGCGAACAAGGGAGAGAGGAAAGAAAAGATTCAGTCTGCGTGTCTGGTCATCGAGTCTAGGTATCAGGTACGGCTATGCAGTCAAGGGTGCAACCATGGGCGAACGGGGTGCTGACTGCGCCATCCCTGCCACCCTTCCTGTATCATGTCGGAATCGTGGTCAGTGGTCACTGCAGGCCTCGTGGATCTTAGAGGGTTCGCAGGACGACGAGCTAAAAATATCGCGTTTCGGAACATGGAGGGGTTGGGAAGAGGCATACTTGGGTATCGCGCTAAGGATGCGTCGTGTGTGAGCCCTATTTCGACTTCATTCACCGTTGGCTTGTCGGCTGAAGGAAACGGCTGGAGAAAGAGGGGGGGGGGGAAAGAGTGTTTCGGATGACTCTTGCCCCATGGTCATGGTCATGGTCTACAGATGACAAAGGGGGGGGGGAGAGAGATGTCTCCTGGCTGGTGGGGCGATGAGCCCAAGCATGAGCGTCGTCTGGGATAGAGTGAGTGCAGAAGGGTGAGTGTGCTTGGGGTGTGCGTGTGTGTGAGTGTGTGTGCGTGTGTGTGAGTGTGTGTGCGTGTGTGTGAGTGTGTGTGCGTGTGTGTGAGTGTGTGTGCGTGTTGTGGACACCGGTACCGGTAAAGGCTGGAGCCGTGCGGTTCACAAGCCGGGCAGTTGAGCTATAGGTACGGTACGGTGACTAGGTACAGTAGTCCTGATGACTCTTTGATAGATCATGGCAGCCGGCGGGAATAGATGGATTCACTGGCAGAGGTAGGTAGGTAGGTAGGTAATACATGGTATTGTAGGATAGGGTAGGGGTTCACGTGGGTGAGAGGGCTGGTCAGCGTTCGCCGCGCATATCCCCCGCCCCCTCCAACTTCCCACTTGCACTCTTCCCCCCTCCCCCAAAGTTCGCTTGTCTTGTCTCCCGTTCTTGGCCTGGAGCCATGAATGTCAATCGCTTCACCTTGTACATTTGTCCATCAATGCCCTGCAAGCATGCAATCATCTATCGCAAGCATAGTGAACCCCCAACCCTTGCCCTGCCCTGCCCAGTCACAAAAGGGCTGCACTGCTGCAGGGCGTGGTGAGATGATTTCCTCGCTGTCCTGAGGCTATGATAGTACAGATACAGCCTGCCCTGGAGTGCCATATGTCCCCAAAATAACTCTGGACACGGCATGACCAGGCAGTTAAACAGGCCATAGGCAGTTAGACTGGTCACTGGTCAAGGAGTACCGATAGGTAGATGGGTTTACAGTATACTTGTCTTGTCGTAGGCCCAATCGCAACCGAGCCGGCACATGGTGGCACCCGGGTCAAACCGAGCAAATGTCCGCAAGAGTAGGATTTAGCGACGCATAGAAACCCAGACGGAGACGAAGACGGGGGGGGGAGGGGGGGGAAAAAAAAGGTGGAAAAAAAAGAAAA